TACTGTAATCCAAAATACGGTAATATACTGTTAAAATAAATAACGGTAGTTGCACTGTAAAATAACAGTAAAATACTGGCGTCCCTGCTGCCAGTATTTTACTGTTATTTCACAGTGAAATTCTTTACAGTGTAGGTGTTAACACCACCTAATCGAAGCAGTACTAGAGAGCTTCACAGAGGAGAGGGGCAAAGGGACAGAGAGCAGACGGCTGCAAGGAGCTAGGCAAACAGACTTTGAACGAACTAAATTCACGACATTTAGATGAAGAATGATTAAGAGGAAGAAGACCGTTGTCTGTTTACGGAAGAATAAAACTTCACCTTCTTTTGAACCTTAGATTTTTTTTCAGTTATATTACTCTGCCCTGCCCTAGCCTGCCCTAGTGAACTCTCATGACATTACAATATACAACATAAACAAATGGCTTCTATGGCTTTTATTTATATTTAGACATAAAAAACCTGGTGCATCACGCATTAGAAGCCTAAATAAATAAACATAAGGCCTGCACAGCGAACATATCAGTCTGCCACAGCAGTACTGATTGTTATATTTGCAATTGGCAAGCTTTGTAGGCTGTTTATTCAATCATTAGCAGCAAAATGATGATAGCACATAATTAGCATCCAGGGCGGAGTCCACAGAAGCTAATTAACAGACTCAATTTATAAAATAGAATGTGGAACAATCAATTATATTGGTAAATTTGTATTGTTTTTTAATGGTCAGATTGTAGGTTTGTCAAATTACACAAACGGTGTGTGAAAGAAAGCCATACTGGGGTAAATCATGCAAATGTGCATTTTCAGAAGCATTTGTTTTATGGATATTTTTGATATGAGGCGATAGACACACATGTCATATTTGGCAAAAAAAAGTTGATCCATTATTACCATGTGTACATGTGATGGCTAGTAGTGGTGCCCTGCTGTCGAAGCATGATCTATTGCCCTGACTGCACGTCAGAGTGGGTGATCAATTCACATGATTGTCAACAATTAAGTATTTCAAGAGAGGCATTTTAATTTTCATTGGAATGGAGGACAACATAGATATCACACATTGTGTCATTAAATCTTTTACTGTTAACTTAATGGCAAGGTTTAAGAGAAAGATAGATTCTTACAAATGAACATAAGGCATATAGTTTCTTTTAGTTCTGCTAAGCCCTGTTGGAGCATTAGAGGTAGCTTTGTCAATTTTAAGCATTTCACTCACTCCTTCATACATCACTTGTACAGGCACTTTCATTCTTACCAGGGTGGATACTCCTATCCAGAACTTTCGGGGAGTGTAATACAGTATGTCACCACCACACATCCAATAACTGTCTTCTAAAGCAGTCGATTGCACACCTAGGAATTGCATGCTGGGCACGGTCATAGTTATGTTACGGCATGTTTGATCTATTGGCCCTGGGTTTTCATACCACACAGGGATCATAAGAAACATAGGATTCACTTTTGCATATGGGAACCAAGACAACACCCAGGTTGATTTAAAATTAAAGGTACAGTGTGTAGAACTTTGTGATATCTAGTGTTGAAATTGCATTATGCAGCTGAACACCCCTCACCTCACCCTCTCCTTCCAAACATGAAAAAGAACCTGTGGTAGCTTTTAATTGTCATAAAAACTCAAGAGGTGTTTAGTTTGTCCAGTCTGGACTAATGTAAAAAACACGGCGGCCTCCGTAGAGAGGGTCCCCTCAATGTAAATATAAAGGGCCTTTTGTGGGGTAAAGAAAACTACAATTCATACAATTTAGATCAAATGAACTAGTGAAAACATCATGATAATTATTCTACATTAAATTTCTGCCAATAGTTCCCTTTCACCTAAATCTTACACACTGGACCTTTAAGGTTAAACTAAAAACATTCCTTTTTGATAAAGCCTATAGTTAGGGCTGGTTTAGGTGAGTCCTGCACCACCCCTTAGTTATGCTGCTATAGGTCTAGACTGCTGGGAACTTCCATCATCCATTGAGCACTTCTCCTCTTCTCTTTTCTCTCTTCTCCCACATCCATTTATTTATTTTAATACATGCAAATAACTATGATTCTTTTTCCTCCCATAGTCCCTCTCTGTCTTTCTCTCTCTCATTGCAGGTATCTCTGACTGCAGGATAACAACTGTTTCTATTGTTAACAACAATACTTATTAGTAATCACCTCAACCAGTTGATATAATAAGAATACGATTTTAAGGTCTTGACCTTCTATGTAAAGTTCTTTGAGGTAATGTATATTATGATTTGGCACTATACAAATTGAAAAGAGCACACACTCATACCAAAATACAGACACGGAAATCATTTAAACAAAACACAATACGACCAGGGCCGTAACGTCCCCCCCCCCTCCTAAAAATCAAACATTTCCCCCAAAATGTTTGATAACTAGGAACAGGAATGTACATGGAAAGTGCATCGGCCAACACATTTTCTGTCCCTTTCTTATGTCAAATCTCTAAATTAAAATCTTGCAAAGACCACCTCATGAGTCTCGGGGGATATGATCCGTATATACAGCAATGGGCAGCGAACTTGAGCCAACATAAACTTCGAAATGCTGCAGCACAAGCAGCAGAGAGAGTGCTTCTTTTTCAATGGTGCTGTATTTCAGTTTTAGTAATTTCAGGTTTAGTGAACTTTTTGGAGAAGTAGCAAATTGTGTGATCAATACCAAAGTCATCCTCAGCGAAGCTCACATCTGGTCTGAGGCACAAGGAAATCTAGGATGGCATGGAGTGGCGCACCTGACCCTGACCCACCAGTTTTCCTAAATTGGTCACAGTGGCTCTGCTGAATTAATATTTTAAGTGAGGGAAGTTGCTTTAACTTAGCAAATATAACTCCTAGGGTTCTAAAGTGCTCGAGTATGCAACTATGTCATCAAAATATACTTCACAGTTGCTTACGTCAGCAAGAATGATGTGCATGAGGCACTGGAATGTGACAGGTGAGTTCCTGAGGCCAAGTGGCATGGCGGTGTACTTTAAAAAGTTATCGGGAGTGCCGAAAGCAGAAATCTCAGACACACCAGGAGTTAGAGGGACTTGCCTTCAACCCTTTATCAGATCAAGCTTGGTGAGGAATTTAGTGGAACCAACTCTGTCCACACAGTCCTCCATTCAGGGCAGAGGATATGAGTCACCCTGTTAACTTTCCAGTACAACATAAAAACAACATGTAATAAACCAAGACAATAAATAAAATATATACAATAAAGGTGACCAAAGTGCATGATTGCAGTGTCTGTAGTAATTTTAAGTCTCCCATCTCTGTAAGTGGGAGTGCTTGTGTGTGGCTGCAGGGGGGGAATGTGTGTGCGGCTGCAGGGGAAGGGGTGTATGTGAATGCCTGTTAAAAGTTCGCGAGCAGCCAAGAGGCAAGTCCAGCCCGCTTCAGCTTCCTGAGGAAGAAGAGCCTTTGTTGTGCCTTCTTCACCAGGCGGAAGGTGTTCATGGACCAGGAGAGATCGGATGTGATGTGGAAGCCCAGAAACTTGATGTTGTCCACACGCTCCACCGCTTCTCTGTCTATGAGGAGGGTGTGATCCGTCTTTCTTGACCTCCTGACCTCCTGTGTTGAGGGGAGGGGGGGACAATGTGGAGTCACCTATTCTCACCGCCTTGACAGCTTGTCTGGAATGACGGTGTTAAAAGCTGAGCTGAAGTCTACAAATAGCATCCTAACGTAGGGGTTGGGATGCTGCAGGTGGGTCATGGCTGTGTGCAAAGTGATGGAGACAGCATCCTCTGTTGAGCGGTTCCCTCTGTAGGCGAACTGAAGGCTGTCCAGGTCCGCAGGGATGAAGTCCCTGATGTGCCTCAGAAGAATCTGCTCGAAGCACTTCATGATCACCGAGGTCAGAGCAACAGGCCGGTAATCATTCAAGCAGGTGATGGACGTCTTCTTTGGTATCAGTATGATGATAGAGGACTTGAGGCACTCAGGAACCATAGCCAGCCGCAGGGACAGATTTAAAATGTCTAAGAACACTCATGCTAGTTGGTCAGCGCATGTTCTCAGAGTCTGGCCTAACACCTTATCTGGTCCTGTAGCTTTGCGGGTGTTGATCCTCCTCAGGGTGGACGTCACCTGGTACTGCTGGGGCTGGTGCTGAGGGGCTGGTGCTGCTCCTCCAGCCGGGGTAGATGTGCAGCCTCTCTGCTGCTTGACGTGTAAAAGCAGGCAAAGAAGCTGTTGGTGTCAGGCAGGGTGGGGTCGTGGCTGGCCAGCTGATTGCTGCACTTGTCCTCTCCACATATTCCAGGGGTTTTTGTTATTGAAGTGTTCTTCGATGCACTGTTTGTACTGGAGCTTGGCCTGCTTAATTCCTCTCCTCAGTTCTGATCGAGCCCTGCTATAAGATAGCCTATCTCCAGACCTGTAGGCAGCATCCCAGGCTTTCAGCAGGGACCATAATGTGCTGTCCTACCATGGTTTCTGGTTGGGAAACTCCTTGATGGTCTTAACAGGGAGGACAGCATCAGCCCAGAACTGAACGTAGGTCAGTACAGATGACGTATACTCCTCCAGGTCTGGCCCTTCCCTGAACACACTCCAGTCTGTGTGCTCAAAGCACCTGAAGTGCAGAGGAGGCCTCTTCAGTCCAAACCTGTACTGTCCTGATGGTTGGCTTTGTTCTGCAGGCCAGAGGCTTGTAGGCAGGAATCAGCTCCAGTGATCAGACATGCCCAGGTGTGGAGCTGCTGCAGCCTTGTAAGCTCCAGGGATGTTACAGTATACTTTATCCAAAGTGTTATTGTCTCCGGTGGGAATGTTTATGGACTTGTGGAATTTAGGAAACAGCGCCTTCAATTCGACGTGGTTAAAGTCTCCAGCCACAATCACAGCCGCCTCCGGGTTGGTGTTCATCTGCCCGCTGATCAGGCAACTCCTCTAATGCTAACTTAGAGGGGGGGGGGGTCATGGATTCTGGAATCCGTTGCAGTTCCGGTGGAATTAAGACCAATTTAGGGGATGTGTGCAGTCCAAACTGTACCCTAATGTTCCACAGTTCGAACCTACAGTACTGTATCAGTATCTCCAGTAGCGTGGTGAATGTAGACATAGGTAAAAACAAATAAACAAAAACGTAAACACAGGAGCTACGAGCTGCTGCGTCTGCACACGCATCTTTTTTTTTTGCCTTGGGATAACGAATGGTGGCACACATCAAGTTCAAAAGGTACTGATGTCCTGATTTTGTTTTAGGAAATGGACCGACACAATCAATGAGGATGTGTTTGAAAGGTTCTCCTAATACCAGGATAATTTGCAGCGGAGCAGGGCAAATAACCTAGTTCGGTTTACCACTAACCTGACAGATATGGTAAGAATGGCTTTCAAACCTGGCCACAACAAATACAGCAAAATGAGGTGTTGAGTCTCTGTTATTCCAAAATGTCCAGCAGAACTCTCATGTGCGAGGCTAAGAATTTGAGGGCAAATTTTCAGAGGAACCAATTCTTGTTGAAATGCATTCCAACCTAGATCACCAGAAGAGGGAGGGTACCAATTGCGCATTAACACACCATTATGAATGCTGTACACACAGGGAAACTCACTGCTCAAATTGGCACTCGATCAACCTCAAAATACAGGTTGGCTTCAGCAGGCAACACATTATCAATCACACATTTTTTAGATTTTCCTACCAATGATTCTGTTTTTTCAGGACCTTCTTCGGAACATATGTATGACTTAGAAAAATCAATCACATCACCAAATTTACACATTTGTGCATGCTTAACAGCACAGCTAAAGAACACAGAAGACGAGTTGACAGCAGTGAGAGCAAAAGCACTGAAAACTTGGAAAAAAGCAATACTGAAGAAGCAGGAGTGAACAACACGGCCAGAGCTGTAACATTTGGAGTGGTAAGCTAATGAGGCTATAAATGACTATGATAACATATGATAACATAGTCATTTATAGCCACATTAGCCTGCCACTACAACTGGCAGATAAGGAAGGCCTATAGCTCGTATCAGGCTGCAGTTATGATTGCAGTTGTACACTCTCACATGAAAGCACTATATATCAAGCATAAAAGTAATATAATCATGAAAGAAGCATGTAAACATGTGTGGAACAGTTTCTTTGAAAATCCTATATTTAGCATAGGAAATGTCACTAAGAATCGATCAAGTCTAATGGAGAAAGAAGTCATACCGATTGTACACTCAGTTCAAAGTCCTCCAATGACTAATTTATAATGGTATATGAAGTCATACTGATTAAAGGCTCAGATCTAAGGCCTCCGATGACTAGGATTTATAATGGTTTCTGATTCTGATTCTGTACAAGTTGAAATGATAACCAGTGATTTAATACACCACTAAAAAACAGTGATTTAATGCCAAAATTCACTAAAGGAAATATTACACCATTACATTTGGTACGAATCAGAAGTTTTGAATTTGAAAGGAGGTGTGGAAAGGCACCTCCTGATTGGTTGAACAGGCAACAGCAGAGACAGGAATGAGCATATAAGCAGAAGGTTTGAAGCACAGTCTTCAGTAGGGTTCTGTAGCCGGCTTGGGTGTATCGCTTGTAAAATAATAAATCTAATGCATTGAACTCTGACCATCTCCAGTGAATTCATTTGACCAAAGATTGACGACTCAAATAGCACTAGAGTATATGTGTTGGATAGCAGTCTAGTCTTAGTATCTGGCCCAGAATTAGACTTTTTTTCATCCACTGCCTGCCCTAAATTAATTAAATCCACAGCGCTGCTCCCCTTTATGTGAACAGTAAGAACATTCAAGGGGGGGCAAAAGAGGGAGCAGGGACTCATGAGACTCATGTTTCTCTTGGGATTGTTTAATGTATATTTGAAGCCATTTAACATAATCAGCAAGTATCTGTGATCACTTTTTCATGATTTTAAGAAATTAAATTTAACTTGAAGCTGTGCCTATGCAGTGTTGCATGGTTTTAATTTTTGAGTTTGCATGACACGATAGCTAGTTAGCCTTCCTAATTTAGTTTGAATGCTGCTGAAGCATAATTTCACCTCATGTCTGCTCTGTGTGTGTGGCTCAGCCCCACTCATGGCCATCATGATTGACCCGAAATTGGAAGCATTAGATTACAGCATGAGCAGAAGTCAAAAAAGCATTTGGATGCACTTCCCTATAAAAGCCCTGACAAAGCAGTATGCTTAATATTGTTGAGGGTTAAGGATGCTGGGGATGCTGCACCTTGTTAAGCATAATTACCAAATGGCGATTTATGAATATCAATCAATCAATCAAATGTATTTATATAGCACGGTATCACAACAAACAGTTGTCTCAGGGTGCTGCACCAAAGTCCAAGATCTTAAGAAACACAAAATCCAACTTCCGAGCAAGCATGAGCAGCAGCGGGGAGGAAAAACTCCCAGGTGGAAGAAACCTCCGGCAGAACAGGGCTCGGTGTGGACGGCCTCTGCCAGGACCAGTTGGGGTGATGGAGAAATAACAAGTAATATAGGGGAACAAAAGAAAATAAAGGGGGGGGGGTTGGGTCACAGTATCAGGTCATGGGCTTGAATCCATCCCGGGAATCTCCACATGGACGTTCGCATGGTCTTCCAAGGGTGCGGTGGTCCCCCCGGGCACTCCTGCCTCCCTCATGGTATGGACCAAGGCGGGGAGGAGAAGACCCAAGGAGTTAGAGATATGTAATAAGATATTACAAAATAAACCAGGCAGAGAGTGAAGAAGAGAGAAGAAGAGAGAAGGTGCTGGTTTCTTGTGCCTGATGGGTGATCCCCCAGCAGTGTAGGCCTATAGCAGCATAGCTATGGATGACTATGGTTCAGGGTTGAGCTAAAAGCTTTATTAAAAAGGAAAGTTTTAAGTCTAGTCTTAAATGTAGAGACCGTGTCTGCCTCCCTCACTGAGAGTGGGAGCTGGTTCCAAAGGAGAGGAGCTTGGTAACTAAAGGTTCTACCACCCATTCTACTCTTAGTAACTCTAGGCACAACAAAGAGTCCAGAGTTTAGGGAGCGAAGTGGTCTGTGGGGGCAGTAAGGGGTTACGAGCTCTTTAATATAGGATGGGGCCTGATTGTTGAGGGCCTTATAAGTTAGTAGGAGGATTTTGAAATCTATCCTCTGTTGAACAGGGAGCCAGTGAAGTGAAGCTAAGACAGGAGTAATGTGATCCCATCTTCTGGTTCCTGTCAGTACTCGTGCAGCAGCATTCTGCACTAGCTGAAGGGTTCTTAAGGATCTGCTGGGACATCCTGATAATAGGGAGTTGCAGTGGTCTAGCCTAGACGTAATAAAGGCATGAATCAGTTTTTCAGAATCCTGTCTTGACAGGAAGTGTCTGATTCTCTTTATATTATGCAGATGAAAGAAAGCTATTCTGGAGGTTTGACTAATTTGTTGGGTAAATGACAGATCTTCATCAATGATAACTCCTAGGTTCTTCACAGTGGAGTTCGGAACCAGACAGATGTCATCTAGGTTAATCGACTGGTTAGACAGAGTTTCTCTGAGATGCCTAGGATTATGACCTCAGTTTTGTTGGTGTTTAACAATAAGAAATTCTGGGTCATCCAGGCCTTGATGTCTTTAAGACAGTTTTTCTTTTTTACAGAATATCATTTGAAAACTTTTAAAAGTGCTGACTCTGTACTATGGTGCATTATAAATCCAGACTGATAGGCCTCCTGCAGGTCATTTCTCTGGAGGTGATCGAGCAGCTGATTTACAACGGCTCTTTTTAAAAGTTTACAAGTAAATGGGAGGTTTGATATATGTCTGTAATTGCCAAGATACCTGCATCTAAGCTAGGCTTCTTTAGCAGAGGCTTAATTACTGCTAGTTTAAAAGCCTGTGATACATAGCCAGTTAATAAAGAGCTATTGATAAGATTCAATACAGTGCTGCCGACTTCTAAGAAAGCCTCTTTGAAGAGCTGAGTAGGGATTGGGTGCAGCAAGCCGGTTGAAGTTTTAGAGGATGAGACTAAAGAAGATAGCTGTGAAAGGGTTATCTGGGAGAACTGATCTAACCATGAGTCTTGGTCTATACTTTTTTCATAGTTGACAGTTTGTGACTGAGTTTTTGGGGAGTAAAGGTGAATTTTCTCTCTGATAGTTTCAATTTTATCAGTGAAGAAGTGAATAAAATCATTGACGCATTAATTTGCTTCATCAACATGAATGTTAAAGTCACCCATGATGATGATTTTATCTGCACTAAGGACTACTTCTGACAGAAATTCTACAAATTCATTTAGAAACTCTGTATAAGCAGTGAGTTGGGCTATACAAATAAAATGTGATTGATTTATGATGAATGCATATTATTTAAAGCAGGATCAACAACAATATTCACCATGCAAGTTGGTGAGGTGAGACAACAAAGTTCCAATGTTGATGATGCTGACCAAGATAACGGTGGGATTAGTGCCTTTACTGAAATGACTGCCACATCAAGTCGGTCATCCACTGTCACTCACAGTGACACCCCTGTGACCTCTCAAGTTAACACTAGGCCTACATCATTGCCAAGCCAGATAAGCTCTCATACAGGCACAAGACCTAAAACCAAACAGACTTCTTTCCACAACACCTGTCATACCCCCATTCAGACAAGGGGAGATAGATAATGCGCTTGCTAAAATGATTGCCACTGACTTCCAGCGATTAAAAATTGTAGAAGAAAAATGATTCAGATGATAAAGTAATGCTCTCCACTCTACCTACTCTCTTCCATCAAGGAAGACGGTATCACATGAAACGTCATGTATCAGAGAGAAGCAGCATCACTGAAGGAAAGGGTGTTTAAAGTGTCTGCAGTTTGCTTAACCACAGATTGGTGGACACCAAGGAATAAAACATCCTTTATGTAACTTGCCACTTCTCTGAAGGTTACAAAATGTACTCCTACCTATAAAAAGAGAAAGACAAAAGCTTCTAGATGTGTTTTGCTGCTTAACTGACAATGCTGCTGATATTACGAAGGCTATACAGATAACAAAATGGACTCACCTTCCATGCCTGGTGCAAACAATCAATTTGACTGCCAGAGAAACCTATTCTGGATAAAGTGAAAGAAGCAGTAGAATTGAGCACACTAGGTGCAGAAAAACTGAAGGCCACTCAGATCCAAATGGTAATATTGCTGGCGAAGTGATGGCAGAGAGTCACAGCCAACTACCAGAGAAGTAAAACAACACAACAAGCATCAGATCTGGTGAACTCTGTATATGCAAACATGGCGGGTAGTTTGCACAGCAAACCCAGCCAGCAACCAGGTCAATAGGAAGGAGCAGGGTGGGTGTAGCTGGTGCAGTGTCAATAAGAAATCCCACTGCAAATGCTATCATGGAGGTGCGGTCTTACCTAGAGGAGCCCCTCTATTTCAAAATCTGCAGAACCTCTCAACTGGTGGTAAAGTCGGGCTGCCCTGTACCCCAGTCTGACGAAGCTCATGGCAGAAATGCTGTTCATTGTGGCAACGTCAGTTCATTCAGAGAGAATATTCTTTAAGACTGGATAAATCATATCCAAGAGGTGAAATCGCATTAAGCCCTCAAAAGTGAGGGAACTTGCTTTCTTAAATTCAAATTTGCTGTAGATGATGGAATAAAGTATGCTGTTTGAGTTGTAGTGTGTCATGGTCTGCTCTGTGGTTGCACCTCTGTTTTGTTGCTTGGTTCTAACGCAACTGCAGTGCATCTCCACTAGTTACCGCTCACAGTATAAGAACCCTGGTCATCTCTTCACTCATTGCCAGATTATTCCATCCGACTACGTGGTATTCTGATTGTACTTGTTATTACTGTTAGTCATGGTCTAAGTTGTGCATTTGGGTCCAAATCCTGATCTGCTCATAACAGTAGTGTAATAAACCTTAGATTTGAATCAAGTTGCTTAGTTTACACAAATACAGAAAACATCAGTAGGTGATGGATAAATAATTTGTAAATGAACTAGGTGTTGGATAAACGTGTGGATGACGTAGGATATTTGCTTTAAAATGTTGACTGAATAAAAGCATTAAGATGACATACTGTATGTTTGAAAGGTCTCATCAATACATATTACTTACTTGGCTTCTTCCCAGGAGTCCTTGTGCTTCCAGGATAACGGCTGCAGCCACATTGTGGATCATGGTGGTGGATCCTAGTGGTAGTGATCGTGGATTATGATTCCAATTAAATATA